AGAGGTGTATTGAAGTGGCTCCCCAAAACAATGTGCACCCCAGGGCAGTGGAAAAGGTGGGGGATGGAGGCTGAGCTAGGGCAGTGGGGTGAGGTGGGAAGGGACAGAGAAGCTTATCTGACAGCAGGGGCTGATAGAAATTTCTAAGTAAAATTAAGGCTGACTCTGAGAGTTCTAACATGAGATCATGAGTCAGGCTTAATTTTACTTAGAAATGGCGTTTTTCACAACTAATTGGTGAGTGTTGGCATGTCTAATGTTGGAAGCATGTGGTGAGAAACTTTTGCTTTGACTGTAATACAGTTTGTTAAGCTAGGCACTAGAAATGTTTTTGTCTTTATTTCCTTGTAACCATTTCTGACTTTTATACCTCGTTGCTTGTACTCACTTAAAATCTCTCTTTTTAGTTAATAAATTTGTTCTATTGTTTATTCTAATCCAGTGTGTTTAACTTAAAGTGTCTGGGTAACTCTAAGGTAACAAGCTATTGTATATTATTCCCTTAGAGGAATACCAGTCATAATACATTTGGATTGTCCAGGAGAGGGCTGGACAGTACAAGACATACATTTCTGGGGGAAAATCTGGGATTGGGAGTGTGTTGGGGTCCCCGGCAAAGGTAACTAAAGCTGGTAAAAGCCAGAGTGTAACCTATGTGTGGCTGGCAGGCTGCAGTTACCCACAGACGCTCAGGGTGTGACTTGCCTGCTGAAAGATTGTTTGTGATTGGCCCAGGTGGGAGTCACTGCAGCAAGGTATTGAAGGCACACAAGATCGCAGGGAGGGTGTGACACAGCCCCTCACTGGTCTCGATTGCACCCCATCTTGTCACAACTGGCCATTCAGTTTCCACCTCAAGGTTAATTACTTTTGGGCTTTTGCAACCCAATTACTTTTGCAACCCAAAGCAAAGTCTGCCTTGCAGTGGAATGGGGCTGCTCTACGCTGGGAGTTTACATCGGCAGAGCTACCTCTCTGGGGTGTGAAAAATCCACACCTCTGAACAACGGCACCATGCTGACCTATTCCCAGATGTGGGCAGTGCTAGGTCAGCAGAAGAATTCTCTTGACTTAGGCCTCAGTCCTGCAATTGGATTCTCATAGTGACTCTTTATGCTTGCATGGACTTTATTGTGCCTGTGCAGACCTGATGGCAGGACTGGGGCTTCATATTGTAACTCTGTCAATAATGAGATGAACCTCTTTAGATCTGTGAGATTCTTGGAGGGTCTTAGATATGCTGCAGTATAACAAGACTTCATACAAAAGGGAGAATGTTTTGTTCTGTAAACCATTTTAAACACCAACTCTCTTTTCATTCAGTTTCTAGAGATGATCCTGCAATTACAGGCCGGTAAACCTAACTCCAGGCAAATTGGTTGAAACTGTAGTAAAGAACAGAATTGTCAGACACTGAGATGAACATGATATGTTGGGGAAGAGTCAACATGGTTTTTGTAAAGGGAAATCATGCCTTACTAGTCTATTAACATTTTTTGAGGGGGTCAACAAGCATGCGGACAAGGGTGGATAGAGTGTACTTAGATTTTCAGAAAGCCTTTGACAACTTCCGTCACCAAAGGCTCTTAAGCAAAGTAAGCAGTCATGGGATAAGAGGGAAGATCTTCTTATGGACCAGTAACTGGTTGAAAATAGGAAACAAACGGTAGAAATAACTGGTCATTTTTCAGAATGGAAAGAGGTAAATAGTGATGTTCCCCAGGGGTCTGTACTGGTACCAGTGCTGTTCAACATATTCATAAATGATCTGGAAAAAGGGGTAAACAGTGAGGTGGCAAAACTCCTCAAAACTACTCAAGATAGTTAAGTCCCAAGCAGACTGCAAAGAACTACAAAAGGATCTCTCAAAACTGGGTGACGGGGCAACAGAATGGAAGATGTAATTTAATTTTGGTAAATGCAAAGTAATGCACATTGGATAACATAATCCCAACTATACATATAAAATGATGGGATCTAAATTAGCTGTTACCACTCAAGAAAGAGATCTTGGAGTCACTGTGGATAGTTCTCTGAAAACATCCACTCAATGTGCAGCAGCAGTCAAAAAAGCTAACAATGTTGGGAATCATTAGGGAAGGGATAGATAATAAGACAGCTAATATCCTATTGCCTCTGTATAAATCCATGGTACCCCCCACATCTTGAATACTGTGTGAAGATCTGGTCATCTCATCTCAAAAAAGATCTATTGAAATTGGAAAAGGTACAGAAAAGGACAACAAAAATGATTAGGGGTATGGAACAGCTTCCATATGAGGAGAGACTAATAAGACTGGGACTTTTCATCTTGGGAAAGAGATGACTAAGGGAGAATATGATAGAGGTCTATAAAATCATGATTGGTGTGGAGAAAGTAAATAAGAAAGTGTTATTTACTCCTCATTACACAAGAAGTAGGTGTCACCTGATGACAGGTTTCAGAGTAGCAGCCATATTAGATAGCTAGTGGCGTTCTGTTATTTTCTTTGTTGGGCCTGTCCTGTAGTAGGTGACTTCTGGGTACTCTTCTGGCTCTGTCAATCTGTTTTTTCACTCCAGCAGGTGGGTATTGTAGTTTTAAGAATGCTTGATAGAGATCTTGTAGGTGTTTGTCTCTGTCTGAGGGATTGGAGCAAATGCGGTTGTATCTTAGAGCTTGGCTCTAGACAATGGATCATGTGGTGTGTCCTGGATGAAAGCTGGAGGCATAGTGGAAACCTACTGATCGCTATACTTACCTACATGCCTCCAGCTTCCATCCAAGACACACCACACGATCCATTGTTTACAGCCAAGCTCTAAGATACAACCACATTTGCTCCAATCCCCCAGACAGAGACAAGCACCTACAAGATCTCTATCAAGCATTCTTAAAAACTACAGTACCCATCTGCTGAAGTGAAAAAAACAGATTGACAGAGCCAGAAGAGTACCCAGAAGTCACCTACTACAGGACAGGCTCAACAAAGAAAATAACAGAACGCTCGTTCACCTGCACATCTACCAATGTGATATATGCCATCATGTGCCAGCAATGCCCCTCTGCCATGTACATTGGCCAAACCGGACAGTCTCTACGCAAAAGAATAAACGGACAGAAATCTGACATCAGGAATCATAACATTCGAAAACCAGTAGGAGAACACTTCAAGCTCTCTGGCCACTCAGTAACAGATTTAAAGATGGAAATTTTGCAACAGAAAAGTTCAAAACAAGACTCCAGTGAGAAACTGCTGAGCTTGAATTAATATGCAAACTAGGTACCATTAACTTGGGTTTGACTAGAGACTCGGAGTGGCTAGGTCATTACACTTATTGAATCTATTTCCCCATGTTAAGTATCCTCACACCTTCTTGTCAACTGTCTAAATGGGCCATCTTGATTATCACTACAAAAGTTTTTTTCTCCTGCTGATAATAGCTCATCTTAATTAATTATCCTCTTACTCCACTTTTTCATGTTCTCTGTATGTATATGTATATCTTCTTAGTATATGGTCCATTCTATGCATCCGGTGAAGTGGACTGTAGCCCATGAAAGCTTATGCTCAAATAAATTTGTTAGTCTCTAAGGTGCCACAAGTACTCCTTTTTGTATCACCTGGTGAAATTAATAGGCACCAGGTTTAAAACAAACAAAAGAAAATATTTCTTCATACAACATATAGTCAGCCTGTGGAATGCTTTGCCAGGGGATGTTGTGAAGGCCAAGACTATAACAGGGTTCAAAAAAGAACTAGATAAATTCATGGAGCATAGGTCCATCAATGGCTATTAGCCAGGATGGGCAGGGATGCAAAACTATGCTCTGAAGTGTCCCTAACCTCTGTTTGCCTGAGCTGAGAATGGGCAACAGGGTATGTATCACTTGATGATTACCTGTTCTCCCTCTGAAGCACCTGGCACTGGCCACTGTCAGAAGACAGGATACTGGGCTAAATGGACCATTGGTCTGACCCAGTGTGGCCATATGTATGTTCCAGGTTGTTGGCCTTTTTCCCCATTAGATGCCCCTGTGTGGTCCTCCTAACCCGTATGATAATGATGTCTATTGAAAGCATTTTTTAATGGGTGCCGGTTCTGTGTTTTCTGCTGGAGCTTTGAGTTTGCCTTTTAGTAAATGGCTTATGAGAGATTCTCTGTGAGATTTCTCTGGAGACTTATCCGTGGGAGGAGGATGGAAAGAACACAGAGAGAACATCCCATAGTCAATGTGGCTCAAGAGGCACTGATGACTCTTACTTGGCAATGAAACAGAGGAGTTAGAGATGAAAAGATCTAGCAGCCCGGCCCTGAGGGCCTGAGCAGGATCGCCTTCCGTGCTTTGTTCCCATTCAAATGACACATGCAAGGACTCTTTCCAAAGTCTGGTAGATCTCACTGTTAGGAAGCTTTTATTGAGCTTACATTTTACTTTTCTTAGTTTCATTCTATTGCTTCTAATTACATCCCCAGCCTAAACAATTCCTCTCCATTACACCCGTCAGATACTGCCGACTGTTATCACATCCTCATTAGGCGTCGCTTAGCCAAGCTTAAATTTTAGCTCTCTCAGTCCTCCAGTGTAAGCCAGTGCCTGCAGCCTCTATTATTTTTTGTTGCTTCTCTCTTGGATCCCTCTAATGTGTCAATATCTCTCTGGTAATACAGTGCTCAGAAGCAAACGCACGTTTCTGCTGTGATCTTTCCAACAGAGCCTCGATGTTAACATCCCACGCGCTCGACAGAGTAATTTATAGGTTATAGTACATACAAGAATCACTTCACCAACCACCAAAATGCAGCTCCTTCTGGGGTGGGACATGGCAGCTGTTTAACAACACAATCATATGATGAGAGACACAAACAGCTGCCCCAGGTCTTGATAGGGACGGAGCATGTCCTTCTGCCTGATATGTCCTTTTGCTGATGCCAGAGTATGAGTCTCCCCTCTGGTTCCTAACAACAGGAGGTAGGACTGGGATCCCTCATACAAAATCTTTCTTTCTCTTTTCCAGGCTGCCAAGAAGCTGGAGGCTGCTACTGGTCAGCGATGCCTGCCTCTTTCTCTAGACGTCCGGCAGCCCCAAACCATCCTGGCAGCGGTGGACGAGGCTGTGAAAGAGTTTGAACGAATTGACATCCTCGTTAACAGTGAGTTGCTTGCGAATCGGGGGAAGTGACAGGATTTTACAAACCCACGTGTTTCAGGGAACAAACTCATGACCAACTGAGGGTCGGGAAGAAATTTGCCCCCCTATGGAGGCAGTGTTCTGTTAATGTCTGGGTGCATTGCTGTCACAGGTACCATCGTCTGAATGCTGGTCACACTGGAAACAGGATGCTGGACTAGAAGGAATATTGCTCTCTTCTGGGCAAAGCTTCCTATGCTCTCACTGCCCTGTGGGAGCCTGCAGTGCCAAGTGACACGAGAGGCTGGGAATACTGGTCCCATGGAGGTAGCGGACTGACAACTGTCTGCCAGAAAATGAAGCGAGGAAGGGGGCAGTCAAGCCTCATTCCCAACCCAGCAGAGTTCCCTACTCATCTCTGTTTGACTCTATCCTGTTCTGTATCGCCCACTTAAGCAGCAATTTAAGCAGCCCCTGCTTGGCTGATCTGGAAATCGATTGCAGCCAACCCTTTGATATCCAATTGTCCCAGTAGCGTTCTTCCTCAAGAGCCCTGGTGTGGTCACCCGGGGCACTGCTCTTCTCTGAACAATGATCCCTTCACCCAGTTCTGGGATATGCTCAGCTACTGTATGTAAAAGTTTATCCCTGCCTGAAAGGTCTGTGTGCAGCTAGCTGCTCTGCTGCCCCAGAGAGCTAGGGACTCCAAAGCAGATGCTGTAAGACTTTGGGGACTTTCCTGAATAGCACAGTAGAGGCCTGAGGGGCACTCTTAAAAATGTCTTTCGCTAACTAAAGTGGGGGCAGCTAAGGCAAGTTACAGTGCCTCACCTAAACTGAGGAGCCAGAAGCCCATTAGAAGTTGCACAGGGCAGCCTGTGTCAGTGTGGCTCTGGATTGGTAGTCTTGAGGTGGATCGTGTGTTCTCTATATAGTGAACAGTTAGGAGGATTGTACACGTGCACACACATCCTGTCCCTGCTTCAGAGGAAGGGAGGGAGCAGCACCCTATGCTCACCTGGTAATAGATCATAGCAGTCTCACTCCCCCGCTCCCCACTGACTGTGCCTCCTGGATGCTCTCCCTCTCCAGATGCTGCTGGTAATTTCCTGTGCCCGGCCAGTGCTTTGTCCTTCAATGCCTATAAGACAGTGATCGACATTGACACCCTTGGCACCTTCAATGTCTCCAAAGTGCTCTATGAGAAATGCTTGCGGGTAAGTTCATCCTACATCAGGGAATGTGCTGCTGGAAAGTCTGTCATGTTGATAAGGAGCGTGTCTTGGGTCCTACCATGAATAAGCTATTAATAAAATCTTTGCTTGCTATTACAGCATTAAACAGTTACCGTGTGGTCTGGGGTTCAAGGGCATGTTATCACTAGTGACCCCCTTTGTACCAATCACCTCTGAAAAAATCTCTTTAACCTTTTATTAAAGCACAGAGAACAGTGAAAGCATTTGAAATGTAATGTATTAATTGTCATACTGTTCCTTAGTCCCTTTCCCTTCAACTGCAGAGAGTCTTTTATGGGGGAACCCCCCTGTTTGCCAGGCGTTTAGATTGGGGGGTGGAGGACAGGGAGAGAGAGAGAAAGAGTTAACTTTGGATAGTCTATTGAAGTCCAGTCCTGTTTCCCTTGGACAAAACAAGATGAACACGCGCTTGTATCCATCCTTTCAGAAAGCAACTGCAAAGATCCTTTCCCTAGCCCATTGCTCTGACCACATCACCCCTCTCTCTTTCCATCACTCCCCTGGATCCCTCTTCTCTAGCACAGGTGTCTCCAAACTTTTTGAATCGCGCACACCCCAGGGCCAGCTCTGGGGAATCAAAAAAAAAAAAGAGCTGCCGCCGGCGTGCCACCGAAGACGGAGCGGGGAGAGCCGAGCTGCCGCCGGCGTGCCGCCGAAGACGGAGCGGGGAGAGCCGAGCTGCCGCCGGGCGTGCCGCCAAAGACGGAGCGGAGAGAGCCGAGCTGCCGCCGGCGCGCTGCCGCTGCCGGAGCGGGGAGTGCTGAGCTGCCGCCTGGCACGCCGCCGAAGATGGACCAGGGAGAGGCAAGCTGCCGCCACTGTGCCACCGAAGACGGAGCGGGGAGAGCCGAGCTGCCGCCACTGTGCCGCCGAAGACGGAGCGCGGCGTGCCGCCGAAGACGGAGCGGGGAGAGCCGAGCTGCCGCCGGCGTGCCGCCGAAGACGGAGCGGGGAGAGCCGAGCTGCTGCCGGCACGCCGCCGAAGACGGAGCGGGGAGAGGCAAGCTGCCGCCACTGTTCCACCAAAGACGGAGCGGGGAGAGCCGAGCTGCCGCCGGCGTGCCAGCGAAGACGGAGCGGGGAGAGCCGAGCTGCCGCCACTGTTCCACCGAAGACGGAGCGGGGAGAGCCGAGCTGCCGCCGGCGTGCCAGCGAAGACGGAGCGGGGAGAGCCGAGCTGCCGCCACTGTTCCACCGAAGACGGAGCGGGGAGAGCCGAGCTGCCGCCGGCGCGCCGCTGAAGAATCAAAGGTCCCGGAGCGCTGCTGCCACCGTGCCAGCAGTGCTCATTTGGCGGCGCTCCTCCTTCCGCGCACCCCCACAGATGGTCGTGCGCACCCCCTGGGGTGCATGCATCCCACTTTGGAGACCACTAGCATATCAAACATAAGCCCTTGCCATCACTTCCAAGGCCCTGCTCAGCCCAGCCCCACCCCACCTATCATCTCTTATCCAGTATCGAAAGGCTAATTTCAGCCCACAGCGGACCCACGATGGCAACCTCCATCGCCCACTCATTAAACTTTCCAACAAGCCCCTTTGTGCTTTCTGCCAGGCTGCCCCTCCTGCTTGGGAGGAGCTCCCCTTAAACACCCCCAAAGCAGCTGCCTCCTCCTCCACCAAACCCTTCCTTAGAACTCCCCTTTGCCGTGATGCATACAAAACACTTGACAGTGGTTAGGCTGCTGGTGTGCTAAGACCACAGCCAATCATGCTGATTAATCTTGTCTCATTGGCAGCCCCATTTTATATCACCTCTGTCTCCTCGTGTCTTTCCTGTACCTTCCATCCTCGCAGAAGTGATCGGAGCAGCAGAACCTTCCCCAGACACAGCCATTCACCTGTGACAGTGAATGTGGTTTGGGCGGCCTCTAGAAAGTGGCTGCCTGCAAAATGTGGGTTGTGCGTAATTCTGGGGAGAGGGTGACCTTGACTTAGGAGAAGTAGATGGAGGGAGGCGACATGAGCCAGTGAAACACTGATTCTCTTTCTCATCCCAAATCCTTCCAGCTCCTTCACTTTTCCTTGAGGCCTCTAATCTTCTGCCATCTCCTGCCTCCTCTGGGTGCTTATACCTTTCTAGAAACGGGCTGCAGATTGTTCTGGAATGTTCCAGCATAGCCCGGAATGAGAGCTGTCCTATGCAGATCCCAAGGAGGGAGGTGTTCAGAGAGCCAGGCAGAGATGGCAGAGCCACAAGAGTTGGGCAGACAATCCCCATTCATCACCAGACCAGTTTCGCCTTCAGGGTATTTCTCTGGTCAGTCTCTCTGTTCCATCCCATGCCCAGGTCCTGTTGCCCGCAGCAGATGATATCTCTGCTCTGTTCCCTAACTCCCTGTCTTGTTTATCCAGGACCATGGCGGGGTTATAGTTAACATCACAGCGACTTTGAGCTACAGAGGACAGGCTCTCCAGGTGCATGCTGGGACAGCTAAGGCGGCTGTAGGTACAGTAAACACACCTGATCCATTTGGTTCCTTTTTGTGTCTTTTCAAGCTGCCAAAGCCCAGCCAACATACTGGTTCTTTCAGAGCCTCTGATGGAGGGGCTTGGAAGAACAATACTAGGATCTTGCATAGTACTCCCCTTGGTACAGATAGGCTGAGTCAAGCCCAGAGCTCTGCGGCACCCTCCCTGACCAGGCTAAGAGGGGTACTCAGCCTGGCTCTCTAGGGTGGCTTAACCAGTTATTCCCCCCTTGTGCAATCTCTGTACTTGCCGCTTTCCAGGATGTGACATTGCAGAAAAATTGTGATGACACAGGATGATGCATTCTGGGATACCATCAGCAAACCGTGGTTGTGCAGAAAGGAAAAGTATATGAAAGGAGACTAATGAAAGCTGGTTTGACTGTGCACCTCCAATCCCCCCCCCCACCACGCACCCCGACTGCGGAGCCTTCCGCAGATCAGAGCCTAACAGAAACTCACTACTAAGGGCCAATCCAAAGCCCATTGGAATCACTGGGAGCATTTTCACAGACTTCAGTGGGGTTTGGATCTTGCTCTGAGTGACTTGCCAGGGTCACATTGAGCTGGTGACAGCATTATGTTTAGAACCCAGGCCTGTGCCGGGCTCAGTCCAGCAGACCACACTATGCTGCCAGTCTCCCCGGCTTGTTAATGCCAGACGACGTTAGTCACATGGCCTGTGGGACACAAGCACAAACTCACACGTTGTCAGGGCGACTGCTGGGACCAGCTGGCAGATGGCAGTGATAAAAGGCCCTCCGTCAGCAGGCAGGCACAGCTCTTTGAAGGGGGTATCTACAGAAGGCCAGCTGCTTCCCCAGTCCTGTGCATTCTGACTCCTCTTCTTCATTCAGACGCTCAGCACCCGTCGTATGCCTGATCTGCCCTCCCCGGCCCTGCCAGTAGTGCTCAGTGCTGACTTGCAGCAGCAGTGCTATTCCAGCCTGTCCCCCTGCCCCCCAGACCTCTGCTATTCCAGCTCTGGATACACCATCTCCTCCACAGCGCTGCCTAAGCCCCTCAGTCCTGACCCACAGGACCCTCTGCTAGTCAATCCCGACCACTTTCACTCCTTTGCTTTTAAACATAAGAACATAAGAATGGCCATACTGGGTCAGACCAAAGGTCCATCCAGCCCAGTATCCTGTCTACCGATAGTGGCCAATACCAGGTTCCCCAGAGGGAGTGAACTTAACAGGTAATAATCTAGTGATCTCTCTCCTGCCATCCACCTTCACCCTCTGACAAACAGAGGCTAGGGACACCATTCCTTACCCATCCTGGCCAATAGCCATTAATGGACTTAACCTCCATGAATTTATCCAGTTCTCTTTTAAACCCTGTTATAGTCCTAGCCTTCACAACCTCCTCAGGCAAGGAGTTCCACAGGTTGACTGTGCGTGGAGTGAAGAAGAACTTCCTTTTATTTGTTTTAAACTTGCTACCCATTAATTTCATTTGGTGGCCCCTAGTTTTTAATATTATGGGAACAAGTAAATAACTTTTCCTTATCCACTTTCTCCACACCACTCATGATTTTATGTACTTCTATCATATCCCCCCTTAGTCTCCTCTTTTCCAAACTGAAAAGTCCTAGCCTGTTTAATCTCTCCTCATATGGGACCCATTCCAAACCCCTAATCATTTTAGTTGCCCTTTTTTGAACCTTTTTGAATGTCAGTATATCTTTTTTGAGATGAGGGGACCACATCAGTACGCAGTATTCAAGATGTGGGCACACCATGGATTCATATAAGGGCAATAAGAGATTCTCCGTCTTATTCTCTATCCCTTTTTTTAATGATTCCTAACATCCCATTTGCTTTTTTGACCGCCACTGCACACTGCATGGATGTGTTCAGAGAACTATCCACAATGACTCAAAGATCTTTCTCCTGATTAATTGTAGCTAAATTAGCCCCCATCATATTGTATGTATAGTTGGGGTTATTTTTTCCAATGTGCATTACTTTACATTTATCCACATTAAATTTCATTTGCCATTTTGTTGCCCAATCACTTAGTTTTGTGAGATCTTTTTGAAGTTCTTCACAGTCTGCTTTGGTCTTAACTATCTTGAGCAGTTTAGTATAATCTTCAAACTTTGTCACCTCACTGTTTACCCCTTTCTCCAGATCATTTATGAATAAGTTGAATAGGATTGGTCCTAGGACTGACCCTTAGGGAACACCACTAGTTACCCCTCTCCATTCTGAAAATTTACCATTTATTCCTACCCTTTGTTCCCTGTCTTTTAACCAGTTCTCAGTCCATGAAAGGATCTTCCCTTTTATCCCATGACAATTTAATTTACATAAGAGTCTTTGGTGAGGGACCTTGTCAAAGGCTTTCTGGAAATCTAAGTACACTATGACCCCTGGATCCCCCTTGTCCACATGTTTGTTGACTCCCTTCAAAGAACTCTATTAGATTAGTAAGACATGATCTCCCTTTACAGAAACAATGTTGACTTTTGCCCAACAATTTATGTTCTTCTATGTGTCTGACAGTTTTACTAGTTTCAGCTAATTTGCCCGGTACTGACATTAGACTTACCGGTCTGTAATTGCCAGGATCACCTCTAGAGCCCTTCTTAAATATTGGCGTTACATTAGGTATCTTCCAGTCATCGGGTACAGTAGCTGACATAAAGGACAGTTTACAAACCATACTTAATAGTTCCGCAATTTCACATTTGAGTTCTTTCAGAACTCTTGGGTGAATGCCATCTGGTCCTGGTGACTTGTTACTGTTAAGTTTCTCAATTAATTCCAAAACCTCCTCCAGTGACACTTCAATCTGTGACATTTCCTTAGATTTGTCACCTACAAAAGACGGCTCAGGTTTGGGAATCTCCCTAACATCCTCAGCCGTGAAGACTGAAGCAAAGAATTCATTTAGTTTCTCTGCAATGACTTTATCGTCTTTAAGTGCTCCTTTTGTATCTCGATCGTCCAGGGGCCCCACTGGTTGTTTAGCCGGCTTCCTGCTTCTGATGTACTTTAAAAAACATTTTGTTATTACCTTTAGAGTTTTTGGCTAGCTGTTCTTCAAACTCCTTTTTGGCTTTTCTTATTACATTTTTACATTTAATTTGGCAGTGTTTATGCTCCTTTCTATTTACTTCACTAGGATTTAACTTCCACTTTTTAAAAGATGCCTTTTTATCTCTCACTGCTTCTTTTACATGGTTGTTAAGCCACAGTGGCTCTTTTTTAGTTCTTTTACTGTGTTTTGTAATTTGGCGTATACATTTAAGTTGAGCCTCTATTATGGTGTCTTTGGAAAGTGTCCATGCAGCTTGCAGGGATTTCACTCTAGTCACTATACCTTTTAATGTCTGTTTAACTAACCTCCTCGTTTTTGCATAGTTCCCCTTTCTGAAATTAAATGCCACAGTGTTGGGCTGTTGAGGTGTTATTCCCACCACAGGAATGTTAAATGTTATTATATTATGGTCACTGTTTCCAAGCGGTCCTGTTATAGTTACCTCTTGGACCAGATCCTGCGCTCCACTCAGGACTAGATCGAGAATTGCCTCTCCCCTTGTGGGTTCCTGTACCAGCTGCTCCAAGAAGCAGTCATTTAAAGTATCAAGAAATTTTGTCTCTGCATTTCGTCCTGAGGTGACGTGTACCCAGTCAATATGGGTACACGTCACGAAATCCCCCACGATTGAAATCCCCCACGATTATTGAAATCCCCCACGATTATTGAGTTTTTTATTTCGATAGCCTCTCTCATCTCCCTTAGCATTTCATCGTCACTATTACTGTCTGGTCAGATGGTCAATAATAGATTCCTACGGTTATATTCTTATTAGCGCATGGAATTACTATCCATAGAGATTCTGTGGAAAATATGGATTTAAGATTTTTATTTCATTTGATTCTACATTTTCTTTCACATACAGTGCCACTTCTCGCCCCCCCATCCCCGGCACGACCTGTTCTGTCCTTCTGATATATTTTGTACCCCAGAATGATTGTGTCCCATTGATTGTCCTCACTCCACCAGGTTTCTGTGATGCCTATTATATCAATATCCTCCTTTAACACGAGGCACTCTAGTTCACCCATCTTATTATTTAGACTTCTAGCATTTGTGTACACGCACTTTAAAAACTTGTCACTGTTTATTTGTCTGCCCTTTTCTGATGCGTCAGATTCTTTATGTGAATGTTTCTCATCTGATCTGGCCCATACGTTATCCTCTTCCATCCTCTCCTCCTGACTAAACCCTAGAGAATCTCTATCAATAGACTCTCCTCTAAGAGAAGTCTCTGCCCGATCCACGTGCGCCTCTGCAGCAATTGGCTTCCCCCATCTCTTAGTTTAAAAACTGCTCTGCAACCTTTATAATGTGAAGTGCCAGCCATCTGGATCCAATTTCGTGTAGGTGGAGCCCATCCTTCCTGTATAGGCTCCCCCATCCCCAAAGTTTCCCCAGTTCCTAATAAATCTAAACCCCTCCTCTCTACACCATCGTCTCATCCACGCATTGAGACTCTGAAGCTCTGCCTGCCCTCCTGGCCCTGCGTGTGGAACTGGTAGTATTTCTGAGAATGCCACCATAGAGGTCTTGGATTTCAGTCTCTTTCCTAGCAGCCTAAATTTGGCCTCCAGGATGTCTCTCCTACCCTTCCCTACGTCATTGGTACCTACATGTACCACGACCACCGGCTCCTCCCCAGCACAACACATAAGTCTATCTAGATGCCACGAGAGGTCCGCAACCTTTGCACCAGGCAGGCAAGTCACCATACGGTTCTCCCCATCATCACAAACCCAGCTATCTATGTCTCTAATGATTGAATCTCCCTTTACTAACACCTGCCTTTTCCTAATGACTGGAGTTCCCTCCCCCCGGAGAGGTAACCTCAGTGCGAGAGGATACCCCAACATCATCTGGAAGGAGGGTCCCAACTATGGGAAGGTTTCCCTCTATTCCTGTTGACCGCTCTCCTTCTCTGGGGCTTTCATCCTCCTTAACAGTGCAGGGGCTGTCTGACCGGAAGTGGGACAAATGTACAGTGTCCCGGAAAGCTTCATCGACATACCTTTCTGCCTCCCTTAGCTCCTCCAGTTCTGCCACCTTGGCCTCCAAAGCCCGTACATGTCTCTGAGGGCCAGGAACTCCTTGCACCGAATGCACACTTAGACGCCACCTGCCCACAGGGCAGGTAATCATACATGCTACACTGAATGCAATAAACAGGACAGCCCCCACTCTGCTGCTGGGCTTCTGCCTGCATTTTCTCCTACAGCTACCTAGGTTAATGATAGGGTTTTGTTTAAATCAAGAAGTTTTGATGATAGTTTAGTTTAAAGGTTTTAAAGAATGGCAAGTGTACCTCACCCCCTTCCCACTCCCCTTCCACACTCCCTCTCAAAACTCCCCGTTAGCAGTCCCTGGTCGCTTGCTCACTGCTTTATAAAGCCCTGGCCTTCTTGAAAGCGCTGCCCCCTGACTAAGGCTCAGCCAGTGAACAGAGGCTTCTAGATTTCAAACCTTGTTTAGAAGCTCACAGCTTCCAACTGCCGGCCACAGCACACAGTCCTTCAAACAAACAAAAACAAACAGACAGAGAAACACAAGCTCAGCATACAGCAAGTAACCCACAAACACACACTACAGATAGCCACTTACTCCAAGAGTCTTATATTTGCTCCTCCTTCACCTGGAGAACTCCCTCTCAAAACTTCCTGTTAGCAGTCCCTGTTCGCAAAGACCTACACCCCCCACCTCTGCCTCTCGTTCCAACCGGCGGCTCCCTCTGTTCACTCTGAAATCCCTTCACTGTTTTTGCTCTGTTTTTCATTCTGCTTTGAATGTCCTTCCTCCCAGATGCAATGACCAGGCACCTGGCAGTGGAGTGGGGGCCCAACAACATCCGTGTCAACAGTCTGGCACCAGGCCCCATTGCGGGCACCGAGGGATACCGGCGACTCGGTAAGGGGCTCTCAGAGAAGTCCCCAGGTGGAGGCTTCTCCTGAGAGCTCGGACTCTCTCTGATTAGTGCAACTATATGTGTGTAAGGGGGGAGTTTAGATGGTGTACCAGCCCCCCAGAGCTCAGAATGCTGCCTCTGCCAAACCCTGACCAGCGTCGTGCTGCAAGCCCTGATGCTCGCAGGCCCCCTCTTGTGGTGAAGCTGGGTAGGGACTTTGCACCACTTCGTTAGTTTACCCTGTGGCCACAGGGGCAAGTATTGGTCCCTCTGCTTAGCCGCTGAGATTCTCACCCTGGGTGCTGTACAAAGGCTTGTTTCTTGCCCTCAGCGTTGTCCTGCAGTGTCACAACAGGTGGTCTAGCCCTACCTGTGCTGCCCCAGCCGACTGGCCTGTGTATGGAAACATTGGGTATATTTCTGTGATAATTAAGAGACCATCAAGGTCATGAGGTCACCTAATCCACCCTCCCTGCCGCAGGATTGTTTCCTCGTCTGTATTCTTCAGGTATCTGTCCTGTCCTAAGCAAGGGGCTTCCACCATCTCCAGGGGAGGCTGCTCCCCAGGCTAAGAGAGCTCCTTGGTAGAACTCTTTCTTACTCTTCAGCCTAGATCATAGAATCATAGAATCATAGAATATAAGGGTTGGAAGGGACCCCAGAAGGTCATCTAGTCCAACCCCCTGCTCAAAGCAGGACCAATTCCCAGTTAAATCATCTAGATCTTCTCTTCCTCAATCTCCCCCCTTTGCCCATGGGCAGATCCTCGTGTATGTTTCTGCATCTGCTCTAGTTTCTTAGTGTGGCTCCATCAGTGTAGTATCTGGGCTCCTTGTAGCACCCAAACAATGCCAGCCAGTTGCAGCCTTTTGCCCTGGGTAGGGGAACAGCCTCCTGATGGGTAAAGAGCCTGAGGGCCTCAGCTTGTTTTGTTCTCTCTATAGGTGGTGCTCGTGCAGAAGCGGACAGCTACTTTGATACAGTGCCCCTCCATAGGGCAGGGAATAAGACGGAGATTGCCCACAGTGTGCTGTACTTGGCGAGCCCCTTGGCATCCTATGTGACTGGCACAACCCTGGTGGTGGATGGGGGAAGCTGGCTGACCTCCCCTAACAACTTCCCTGCGCTGTTGGGTATTGCATCACACTCTGCTAAGCTCTAGGTGACGTGTATTTCCCCCTCTGTGGGACTAGATGCGCCGTCCGGGCCTAATGTTTGAACACCTCTTGGTATGCTGCAGGCAAACCAGCAACTTTGGCACAAGGGTGTTGTCCCAGGCATGATGCATTCAGAGTGAGTGCGTTCAGGGTCACAGGCATTGAGGGTCACCACGCACTCATCAGCAGCTGGCATGGTAGTCCTGGGCTTTCCTTGCCAGGCAGGGGTCAGGGCTGTGTTGCACTGGTCAGTGGTTGGAGTGGACCCCATGCTGCCTGTTGGTCACACTGCTTTTCTTGTCCGTGCCTCCGCACTGCACATCTGGTTAATAGCTGTCACCATTTTCCTGGTGCTGTAGTTAGATGGGGTGAGGGTGGGGTCACATCGCAGAGGAGCCTCTACCCTTCCCATGTAGACTTTCCAAGATCAGCAATATGAAATACCTTGTGCTGCGGTGATTCATGAGCAGATTCTTCGTAGCCCAGGGCCACAGACCGAAGGTGTGTTTGGCTCCCAAGTGTGTGGGACCTCTCCAAAGGTCCTGAAGGCTTGCAAAAACTCATCTGGGATACCTCCCCTGCCCAAAGAGTTCCAGGCTAGGCTTCTTGAGAAAAGGCCGGGCAAATAGTTAGGAAGCACAAATGTGTGGTTATTAAATCTGCAGTCTCCCTCCCAAAACCCACAGGGCAGGGCCACGTGGGAGAAATTCCAGGCCAGCTGGTTTCGTCTGGGCACAATTAGAAAGCGTGTGTGTGAGAGGTTGCACGATGGAGCTTTGGCTAGTTCCACCAGCACAGGATCTGCCCCCAGGTGTTCAAAGAGGGCCAAGCCACGTAATACAAAGTGGTGTAAAGGACAATGGCACCAATCTGCCAGGAGGGGCTGGTGCATGCTTGCCCATTGAGTTGGGTGCATCGTTGGCAGTGGGAATTAATCCTTGGGCCTCTGGATCTTAAAGCAGGAGCGGCACTGACTGAGCTAAAAGGCCAAGCTCTGTTAGCCAAGGCTGATGTAGGCTCATCTTCCACTATATGTGGCCCAGCCACACTAGGGGGGACGGAGCCCCACACTGAGTGAGCTGCCCACATTCACAGAATGCCCAAGGAGCTATTAGTTACAGCTGCAGGTGGCAGACCCAGGCTCGCCTGATTCAGAGCTGTGATTTGGACCTGGGTCTCCCATGTCCTGGGCGATGGGCCCTGATCACCAGGCTGCAGAGTCAGTCTCCTTTTGGCCCAATGAATATTTCGTTATGTGTACAAAGTGGAATAGCTCCAAGAGAAGAGATTAACTGACTCTTAAGCCCAGTGGTTATGAACTGCGCTGGTGGGTGGTATCTCTCCCTCTGTCCCCCGCAGGCTGCCCACCATTTAACAAATCATTTTGGGAGGTCTTGGTCAAAACAAAAATAAATTTTGAAAGCTCTAAATGTTTGGTGAAAGAGAGCTGTGGTTTTCCAGCCAGCTCAGGGCTGTTCATCTGGCACCTGTAACTAGCACCATTGGCCCCTGGAGAAGGTGTGTCCTTGCTAAGTAATGAGGTGCCTTTTCCGTCTGCTCTGACTGCAGGCTCACTGTGCAGAGACACGTGTAGGTGTCAGCATACCCTGCCCCCTCTCTCCGTCCTGGCCCTCTCTCACCTTGCCAAACCCACGGACTGTATAGTTGCATCATGATTTTCAACAACCCAGATCAGCTCTGAGGCACACAGGACTAATCAGAGACCCACACAGAAGTATCCCCTGTTTAATTTGTAATGTTACCTAACCAAACAACACACCAACAGTTGGAAGGGAGGGGCTTGTCCTGTCTCGAAGGGCCCATGTTATGTTAATCAGAACCCACGTTAATTAAGAGGCTTGCCTGAACATTTACTCTGTATTCAGAGTATGGGGAAGGTGCACTCTGTTATTTATCCCAAAGAGGTTTAAGCCGTGCTTTAAGCACAAATCTCTAGGCAGTCTGAACTGTGGAGCTGCCATGGCACCTCCACAATAAGCTACTGAAGTTGTTTGAATGAGGGGGCTCCCTCCCTGCCCGGTCCCCATCCCCCAGTGCTCTTTTTGAGCTCTGCCTTGATCTAGGCCAGTCCATGATGGATTTCACGTCAGTTTCATTCCTTGACTTCCATTCTGTCTTACAGATCATTGGGCCATGGAAGTGAAGAAAGACAAATGATGGACGACCAGGGACTGACAGGACGCTGAGCAAACACTACGGCTTTGGACATCCCTATGACACAGGGTCAGGGAACAGCTATGACCTCTGGCCATCAGCCGTTGGGATGACCTTGCTGGGGCAAAAGTGAAAATGGCAAAGTTGAAGATTCAATGTATGTCTTGGTGGGGGTGGGATTAGCGGTGGGGGGGAAGGGGCATTACGAGAGTCCTGTCCAGAAGGCAGCTGTGCCCAAGTTTGCTCCTGATTTTATATTTTGAAGCTGGTCTAGCAATAGGTGCAGCTCTGGTGATGGGTCTGTGGGGGGAAGGTGGGTTGCTGGAGCCTTGCTCCCCTTCACTTTACTGTTTTCATTCCTGTTACATCAAACCCCTTGTTTTTCTGCTGAGTAACCTTGGTAATGCCAGAGAGCAGCCCTGCCACCCCTCTGTCTCGATTCCCAGCTGATTTTTCCCAGCTTTAACCTATAAACTGCTGGTATCTTTCCACATTACTGGTGGATACCTTCATCTGGGCAGATGTTCTCTGCAGATGGGTGTTCCAGGCAGCCAGAGAGTTAAGCAGCATGTTGCCCTTCCCCGTTGCAGACTCAGTTCACTCCCATTCGAGAGCTGAAGGCAGCAGTGATCTGCTCCTGAAACTTGCACCCAGGTTGCAAACTGATCTCTCTGTGGCGCATGCTGCCTGCGGCCAGCCCTGAATCTCCATTCCCCTCCTGCACTTAGATGGGCTAGTGACCATCCAGAGAGTGCCCTGTGAACAGGCGAGAGTCCGTATTCCCACCATTAAAAATCGCCCTCAGCAAGCTGCAAATGTCCACCTCCCATTGATAGCAGCACGTGCCCTGCTACCGTTCATCCTGTCGTGGATGTGAGCCAGCTCACCAGCACTGCTCTACTGTCATGGCCTTCTGTACGCTCCAGCGCTCAGGAGTGGTATTCAGCAGCCCAGACCCTTGCATGCTGAGGCACCCCAGCACAGCAGGGGTGAGACTCCGCAGCAGCTTCATACACTCTGGGGTGATGCTACTGAGTTATGAAAACAATCAGTACAATGTCTACCACGCTCCTTGTGCGATTCACTAAATGGGCCTTCAGTCTCTGGGTGCTGGTGTGCCCAGAACTCCCATTCATCTCCACTAGAGTCATAGGTACGCAGCACCTTGGAAAATCAGAGCCTGTGAATTTTTATTTTTATTGCGCTGCAGGTTCGTGTCTCACCAGTGCATCATTGTACTTCAGCTGCTGGAGGAAGCAAGAGGTTCTGGCACTTGGGGAAATGTGCAGCAGGCAGTTTGGGCTCCAGGATAAGCACCCAAGCCAAATGATCAAAAGAGTGGTAGTGAAATAGTGAATGTGGACAATGGGATCTTAATAGTGTATATTTCACACACACCACTGAAATGGATGGGGCAGTTCACACCTCTCAGCCTGTGGTTTCAGGCTGCCTGCACACTCAGGTAGACAACACATCAGTTATGCTCAATTCACATTTGAAAGACAAGTTCTTATGGTTGCAAAGAAAAAGAAGCTTTGCTGTTTATTTGAGCTTTGCTGCTGGATCCAGGATTCTGCTTTGGGCAATGGGGCCCTGACTGTGGCAATTAGGGTATATCTACACTTGAAACACTACAGCGGTACAGCTGAAGTGGTTCCATGTGGACAACAGCGACGGGAGGGGTTCTCCCATCAACTGATGGAATCCACCTCCCGTGAGGCAGGAGCTAAGGCAACAGGAGAACTCTGCCGTTGTTATAGCGTCGTCCACACCAGGCTTAGGTTGGCTTAACTGTGTCACTCAGGGGTGTGGATTTTTCACACCCCCTGAGAAACATGGCTATCCCGATATAGGTTTTCAGTGTAGACTGGTCCTGCTGCCATCCTGTGGGTTAGGTCTGGATTATCAGCCCCATTTCACATGTGAGGCTATGAGGCAGAGAGAGAGGGAAAGCAACTTGCCCAAGGTCACTCAAGGCGTGAGGGTCAGATCCAGCATTAGGACTCCCTGAGCAGTTCCTGATTCCTAGCCCTGTATTTAAACAGCTAGAACACATGGGACACATCTGGCTCAGGATAAAGAGGTTATAACAATGGGAGGTAACTAGCCAGCCAGCAGCTTGTCCTTGCTCGGACTTACTTGGTAGCAGCAGGTTTAGAATTCTAGTTTTGGTTCAGCACCCAGAGAGAAGGGAAGCACCTTGAAGGAGAGGCCCATGAGGGTGGTTTCTTTGCCTGCCTGTAGTGGGTCTTTGGAAGGATCCCTAATGCCTGTAATACCTCAGCCCTTCGCGTGGCTGATCTAGCAATGGGTTGTATCCCACAGAATATTCTAGCTTTTTCAGATCTAAAACTGACTATTTCTTTTCTGGTTGCCCCAAATCTTCCCTAATGTTCAAAATCAGAGAGGGAGATTTGAAACAAGCGTATCCTGCATCTGACCCAGTCTCCACTAGCTCCGAGATTTTCCCAAAAGTCTCCTAGGCCCAGATCCACAAAGCTAGTTAGGCTCCGAACTTCTACAGAAAGCAACAGAAGTTAGGAGCCTAAATACCTTCATGGTCCTAAGCCCTGATCACTCTGTGCCTCAGTTTCTCTATCTGTAAAGCGGGGAATGATGGTAGTAGGCTACCTCTCCAGTGTACTGCGAGGATTAACTCCTGCCTATAAAATGCTTTAAAGAAGAAATCGTTATCTAAGGGCATGGCTACACTTGCAGATGTAGAGCGCTTTGAGTTAAACCAGCCTTCGTAGAGCGCAGTAGGGAAAGCGCTGCAGTCTGTCTACACTGACCGCTTCAAGCGCACTGGTGTGGCCACATTTGTGGCACTTGCAGTGGCATTGGGAGCGGTGCATTATGGGCAGCTATCCCAGCATGCAAGTGGCTGCAGCGTGCTTTTCAAATGGTGGGGGGTGGAGTGTGACAAGGAGTGTGTTGTGTGTATGTGGGGGGAGAGAGTGGGTTTTTGGGGGGCTGAGAGCATGTCAGCATGGTGTCTTGTAAGTTCAGACAGCAGCAAACCCCCCTCTCCGCCCCCCCACCTCTCTCTCTCCCACACAGCATTCCACACTAATGGTTGCTTTGTCTCGGAGCAGATAAGCAGCCGGCTGTCAGAAATGGAGCTTTCAAAGGGCATTTCCACATTCCTGCAGCGATTCAGAAACAATGACAAGAGCGGCCACTTGACTTCAGGGGGTTATGGGATGTTTGCGGAGGCTGATCAGAGCGCAGTAAAGCAACACCTTGGTCACGCTGGCGCTGCAGGCGCAGCAAACATTATTCCACTCGCCGAGGTGGAATACCAGCAACGCTGTAGCCGTGGAGTCAGAGCACTCTACGTGCTTTGCCAGTGTGGACGGGTAGTGAGCTAGTGCGCCTGGGGCTCTTTTATTGCGCTGTGACTCGCCAGTGTAGCCAAGCCCTGAGGTATCCTAGGTTTGTGTCCAGCAAGCGTTGCTTCTGAGTCCCAGCCTCTCAAGCTGTAGCCCAGTACCTCAGACCTTTGCATATCTGTGCAGCCCTCAGTGGTAGGAAATGAGGTGCAATTCGCCACAGCCAGAGTCAGTGCAGCACTGTCAGTGCTAGCTGGTCGCTTTAGTCTGGCTGCAGTTCGCGGGGCCGGGAGGCAATGCAGTCAGGCCAGCATGTGGAGCAGCTCAGAACTGGACGAGAGCCGAGGCAGAGCCTTTATTGCTGCTGACCGATTGATGTGTTTGAAAACCCACCCCTGCCTCTTGTGATTCTGCTGAGCACAAACTACCTTCTGCCACGGAGCAACTGGAATGCCAGTCTACCAAATGCCAGAGGTATTGCTTCACCAGTGCTAAATTTCTCAAATATACTCCTGTAGTCCTTGAGGGCGGAGGATTCCCGCGGTGCACTGGCCCGGTCCTTCTAGTTAAGGAACCGAACAGAGGAAGAAAATTCTCTCCCTGACAGTGGTGCAGATTTGATCGGATACCACTCATCATTGCACCATAGGCAGCAGCCCCTGAATCAGTCTGTGAACCCAGAGAGAACCACAGGGTCTCTGTCCAGCAGCCTCTGTAAAGAATCCTATTTACGTCCATTACAACAGAGTCCTGTCTCTTCTGTGTTGCTACAGACAGTACAATCATTAGGTAAATCCAGGGCTGGATTTCGGTGCCCAGCAGGAATAGATCCTTTCTAAATTGACAAATCAGCTGATCTTCCACTGCCCAGTGCATGCTAGCACTGCACCATAGAATAAACTAAATGCCACGCAGAAGGGGTGTGAGTGACTCCTAGAAAGGATTTAGCACAGGGGTGAACAAACTTTTTGACCTGAGGGCCACATCTGGGAATAGAAATTGTATGGCAGGCCATGAATGCTCACAAAATTGGGGTTGGGGTGTGGGAGGGGGTGAGGGCTCTGGGGTGGAGCTGGGGGTGAGGTGTTTGGGGTGCAGGAGGGTGCGCCAGGCTAGGATCAAGGGGTTCAGATGGCAATAGGGGGATCAGGGCTGGGGCAGGGGGTTGGAGTGTGGGAAGGGGTGCAGGTTCTGGATGGGGGAGCAGGCTCTGGGGATGCGAGGTTTGGGGTGCAAGAGGGTGCTCTGGGCTGGGATCAAGGGGTTCAGAGGGTGAGAGGGGGATAAGGGTTGGGGCAGGTGTTTGGGGTGCAAGGAGAGGCTCAGGGATGCAGGCTCCAGGCAGGACTTACCTCAAGCGGCTCCTGGAAGCAGCCGCAGCAGCATGTTCCTTCTCCACCTCCTATGCAGAGGCACAGCCAGGCGGCTCTGCACGCTGCCCCGTCTGTAGGCACCGCCCCTGCAGCTCCCATTGGCTGTGGTTCCCGGCCAATGGGAGCTGCAGGGGTGGCACTTGGTGTGAGGGCAGCGTGCAGAGCGGAGGCCCATGCCTGCTCCTATGCACGCTGCCCTCACACCAAGTGCCACCCCTGCAGCTCCCATGGGGAGGGGCCATGCTGCTGCTTCCAGGAGCCACATGGCATGGTCCCCAACCCTGCTCCCCAGCTGGAGTGCCAGAGCGGGGCAAGCCCCAGACCCCACTCCCCAGCGGGAGCTTGAGGGCCGGATTAAAACAGCTGGTGGGCTGGATCCGGCCCACCCACCATAGTTTGCCCACCTCTGATTTAGCAGGTTCATGCCACCCTCTCGGTGCTAGAAATAACTTAATCTGTTTCTAATTTTGTAAAAGCTTGTTTGAGAAGATTCTGTTTCTTATTTGATTGTGGTTTTGCTGACTGATCCTTCCTCCAAGTTAACACTAAAGAATGAACCCCATCTGAGCGATCATATATTTACCCACCAGTGTTTTATTCCGCTGACTAACCTCTGCCTCGAATCATTGTGGGTTTGAAAAGACACGGTAAATCTTCATTTCCTCTCACGTTCTTAATAGAGCTTAGAACAGTAGCAATTGAAAATTTAAAAGATCCATGGAGCTCTTGGATTGGAGCAGGTGACAAGCTTTGTATGTGGACCCAAGGCTGTTGAGCCAACCAGTTTGCTGCATGAAAGGCTAATGAAAATGAGACCAAACTCCTTAGCCAAGTGGTATTCTTCCTGCATCACAAAGGATGGAGATTTCCTGCCTTCTTCACAATAGCAGCGTGATCCAAAGCCTGGTGAAGCCAGTGGGCTTTGGATCAGGTTGTTAGAGAGGGTAATTGTAAAACTAGAAGTGTTGCTTAAGCACCTATGAAATGCCATGTAGGGTTTATAGTCACTAGGTGGGAGCTCTGCAGTGAGTACATACACCCATAACAGTGACTCAGTAAACCCAAAGGTGTCCTATCTGTTATATATTAGCTACAAGAGGTCATGTTACAAATACTTTCTCCCCCCACCATTGCCACACCTCAATAAATAGGGATTGCATAGGGGAGTTCCACAAGGCATTGGGGCATTACCTAGCCCATTGGCTTAAGTAGTCTCAGCAATTGCTGCATGCCTCACTCTGCTACTGTCTCTGGCCAGGGGATCTCTAGCTGTAGATGCCTTGGCAAAGCTCCCATTTGTGAGGAGCTCTGTCCTGTGCAGAAGGTGTTGCTGAGTCCAGACCATCCTGCTGCCCTTACTTGGGTCTGAGCTCTGACCCTTAGAGAGTCACCAGCATGCTGCCTTGGTACAGTGCTATCCTGCACCAGATCTATAACTACCATTCACTGCAGTTAAGCAAAATGCTGTCACGTATCGGGCAATGCCTGACTACAAAGGTTCACCTGGAAGAATCCAGAGGCCTGCAGGGCAGATGTGAGAATCTTAGCACACAACAATGGGGGTGGGGGGAGAGGAATTAAACCAACCACTTCCTGCAGTAACATATAAACGGCAGCAAGGTAAACTACCCAGGAGAACAGGTCTGAGGGAAGCCCCCATGCACATGAGTATGCACACAAATTACACATGAAATATTTGAAAAATGCAGACAATTGTCCCAGTTTGCAATAAGACACACCTCTCCGAGCAGGTCTGTAGCAGCAGCAGGATTTAGTATTCTACAAACACCATCAGTGAGGAATACAACTAGGGAATAAGTCTCTAAACATCAGTTGTCAATGGGAACAAGCGAACCAAACGCCATAGAACAGGCCTTTGCTAATCTCCAATTTGAGTACAGACTCTTTTCCAGAGCGCAGCAGGGAGCTACTGGATCATTAAGATGGTCAATGTCACTCACAGGATGTTTGCCAGGAGCTCTGGGCTCATTCCTGCTCCTGTTTCAGTCAATAGGAATTTTGCTGTTGACTTCAGTGGGAGTATTAAAGAGTTACAGCTCTACTGCACTTGTCAGATCTACACACACTCTTACTCTCCTTGACTCTTAAGTGGGTTCTTTGCTCATTAAGTCATGGGATTGACCCCTCTGCGCTGGAGTTCCCAGTCTTGGTTAGCAAGGCCATGCCATTTTCAGCACTCTTGTGGCAGAGACTGGATAGGGGTGCTAGGCAAGGGGAGTGGAAGTTTGGCAGCGTAAGTATTGTGGTATGATGTGTGTCAGTAAATGGAGCACTTGTCCTGCCCCAGCATGAATGAGGGTCTTGTCTGGGCCCACTCTGAGCGCTACACCTGCTTTTAGGGATGTAAGTGTCTATAGTGCCAGATTTGTTGGCTCTGCTGTGTGGCAAGAGGCTGACGCTCAGGCTTTATTTGTTGATAATGCTCCTGCACTCTGGCTTCTGACCTGTAGATGCATTTCAGCTCTCATCCAGCTTAGCTCCCAGAAGCAGCTCCATTGTCCAATGCCAGGGTGAGGAAACTTAAGCAGAGCTGCCCTTCTTTCTGGTGCTAGTTAGTGGTGCCTTTCTAAATTTCAATTAATTTTGAAAACCATCTCCAAGTGAGCTTGAAATGGTTTGTCAAAATTGATTTCTCCAGGGAGCTAAACAAGTAATGACATGAAATCCATTCCTTGGTGGAAGATGCTGTGATGCACCATCAGCTGCTTCTTCACTGCATGTTCGATAAGATTGCCTCATGCGGGGGCAGCTCTAAATTTTAACCAGTGCTATTTGCACATGGCATAGGGAGCTGTGAGTGATGATTGGAAGAAAGAAGTGATGTGCTGCTGAAAGGCCAGCTCTTCAGAGGTCTTGGGATCAGTGTGTATGGGGTGGGGAGAGATGGGGTTGTCTCCTTGAGATCCATGGCTGCTGTGTTTCTGGATTAGCTTTCATGGCACACAGAGAGGGAGGGGCAGGGTCCCATTCCCCAAACGATTTAAATCCACTTTGCTCTCATTGCTAAGTTTACTTAACTGTTCTGGATTGTTTTGTTAATGTCCCAGCTGAGGACTCTCCCCTTCAGGCAAAGCCCTTTGTTCCAGAGCTCCTACTGGCCAAAGAAATTCATAGAGTGTAAATCCAGAATTAGATCACCTACTCTGACCTCCTGTAAATCACAGGCCATTAAATTTCACCCAGTTTCCCCTGCACTGAGCCCAATAACTTGTGTTTGAGTAAAGCACATCTTCCAGAATGGCATGCAGTCTTGATTTGAATACACCAAGAGATGGAGAATTCACCACTTCCTTTGGGAGTTTGGTCCAGTGTTTAACCACCCTCACCTAAAAATGTGTGCCTTATTTCCAATTTGAATTTGTCAGCCCTCTGCTTCTAGCCATTGGTTCTTGTTATGTCTTTCTTTGCTAGATTAAAGAGCTTGTTAATACTCGGTATTTTCTCCTCATGAAGGTTCTTATCCCCTGCAATCCAGTGACCTCACAATCATCTTGTTGGCAAGCTGAACAAATTGATCTCCTTAAATCCCTCACTGTCAGGCATTTTTCTCCAGCCCTTGAGACATTGATGTGGCTTTTCTTTGCACCTTCTCCAATTTTCAAATAACTTTTAAAAATGTGGCCACCAGCTCTGGAGGCACCATTCCAGTGTCAGTCTCACCCATGCTGTATGCAGAGGTGAAATCACCTACCTATTGCTACTCGCTACTCCGCTATTTATGCATTAGCCTTTTTTGCCACAGCATCACACTGGGAGCTGTTGTTGAGTTGCTCGTACACCATGACCCCCAGATTGTTTGTGGCATCACTGCATTCCAGAATACAGCCCCCCATTCTGTAGGTCTGGCCTGCAGTCCTTCTTCCTACATGTATGACTTTGCATTTGGCTGCATTCAAACACATTTTGTTGGAATGGGCCCAGTTTACCAACCAATCCAGTACTGGTTAAGATGCCACTTCAGAGCCTAGCACCATGGTGACCTGATCAGGGGTGCCGGCACAGGGTGGACCAAGAGTCCATGGCCTCCCACTTTATACTGGCCACAAGGGCATGTGATGGGGAAGAGGGGGTGGAGAGGCGCGAGTGGGGGTATGGGGGGGGGGGGAAGAGGCGGTGTGAGGGCAGGGCCTTGGGGAGAAAGGGCAGTGCGAGGTCAGGGCCTTGGGGGAATAGGCGGCGCAAGGGCGGGGCCTTGGGGAGAAAGGGCAGTGCGAGGTCAGGGCCTTGGGGGAATAGGCGGCGCAAGGGCGGGGCCTTGGGGAGAAAGGGCAGTGCGAGGTCAGGGCCTTGGGGGAATAGGCGGCGCAAGGGCGGGGCCTTGGGGAGAAAGGGCAGTGCGAGGTCAGGGCCTTGGGGGAATAGGCGGCGCAAGGGCAGGGCCTTGGGGAGAAGGGTGGGGCCATGGTTTGGGAACCTGTGCCTCCCCCACCCTCCTTTTAGGGCACTTCTGCCACTCCTGGACCTGATCCTAACTGGGATCTTTGGGTCCCAGGGGCTCTATCAATATTTAGCTGCTTCAGCTTCTCCCAGTCCCCCTCTTGATGCCACTCCATCCCTTGCAACAGCAATGGAGCTGCTGGGCACCCCTCAGTGTGGATTAATAGTGTTGGCTGACAATTAATGCCCTTGACCCAAGCACTAGGATGGAAGTGAAGATGCAAAGGATGAGGCAGGAAGCCTTGCTGGAAGAAAGGCTTTAGTCAAACACAGGTGATTGGGCTCACTGCAGGAGTGGCGGGATGGAATTCTCTGGCCTGTGATAGAAAGGAGGTCAGTGGCTAAATTAACTATTCCTTCTGGCCCTAAAATCAATTCCATGAGGCGTGTCAGCTCTTTCATGAATGAAACATGTTCCTTGCACACAATACACTTTACAGAACACCCGCTGGGGGGAGCATTATTTCCAAAACTAAAGAGATTTTTACCCACAGCCCCTCAGGATCCTATTATATACACCATTTAAAAACAACCCAACCTGAATGTCTGAACAGTAAAAGCTGAATTGCTCAGTCCCTACCCCCTTTAGAGGAGCATTAGAGAACGGGCTTCATATATTCCCCCAACCTAGCCCCTCCCACTGTTCTTTTTGAGGTTCTGCACTGTTCTCCATGTGACAAAACCATCACACACGCTAATGAAATTGACATGGTCTGCTTGAGTAGAATAGCAAGGTGGGGCTGCAGGGCAGGGATAAGCTGCATAGGGAAGGCCAGGGCTGGAACAGCAAGGGGCTGCTGGTCAGATTTGGCCCAATTCTTTCATTAATTTTTGAAGTTCAAATGCTGATTATAAATCACCAAAACCAAATGATGTTCACTGAGCTGCCAAGAAGACTCTAGATGGAAGCAGATCCTGGTGTTTAGTTGTAGGGTGCAGGGAGGGTTGCAGACGATGTTCCTCACAGTAAATAAACCTGTACAAACTAAAACAAGCCCTATAGTCACTTACTGCCAAATACTGTTGCTGTGAAGTCAAAGCCTCAGCCGGATTCTTGCTGGCTCTGCAGAACTGTCTCAAGCCCTAATAAGCATATTGGAGCAGCCACACAGCTCAAATCTTAACATTCAATATATGGGAAATGGACCTGGAAGCACAAAGGGGGAATGGATGGGCAGCTTCTGCTTTGAATTCCTGTCCCACCACACCTCTTTCCCTAGTATATACAGACACTTCCCCTAGGTGGCAGTAGAGGACAGTTAGACATAGGCAAGCCGGCCTGGAAAGTTGCCCATAGCTTCTGTTAACCACAGATTCCCATCAATACGTTTTGTTTCATCGTTTATGGGAAAGATCTGTTTGTGGCCAGTACTGGGGCCTAGAGACCCCAGTGATGGACACAGCAGGTTTGCCGTGACAAAGCAGGCTGGACGTAGATTTATGGGTGCTGAGATGGGACTTCTAGCAAGATAAAGGAAACCAAATCCACCACACTGGACCCAGCTAGATCAGTATCCTGCTTCCAACAATGACTCAGAGGAAGGTGAGCAATACCCATAATGCAGCTGGCCAACTGTGCAGTGCTCCACGTAGGGGAAACGTTCTCCTGTGTCCCACTGATGGGCGCTTACACTCTGACTCATGAATGCTCATCACCATCTTAGCTGGAGGTGTGTCACAAATGTGTCATGAAGGGGTGTAAAGCCACCCTTTGTTTAAATCTAGCCACAAAATTTGATTCCATGGTGCTTTTCAGCCAGATGGAGGTTTTCCCCAAGGTTCATAAGAACCCCTCTTTTAACATAAAGAGCTGGTTAAGAGTCTAAAGCCCCTAGCTGGCTTTGAAACGAGGGGAGCTGTGTATCTAAATCCTCTAGACCAGTGGTCTCCAAACTTTTTGGCTTGCACACCCCCAGGGCGAAGACTGGAAGACCTGCCACAGGCCCGCCACTGATGGAACAGGTCCGGAAGACCTGCCACAGGCGCACCACCGGAGGGGAACACCAGCCGTGGACATGCAGAGCTGCTACCAAAGAAAAAAAAAAACGGAGTGCGGTCTGGCGGCGCTCCTGTGGCCGCACACCCCCGGGATCATCTCGTGCAACCCAGTTTGGAGACGACTGCTCTAGACAGCTACAAAAGTTTCTTTGCACTGTTGGACTTCTCCCCTCATTTACTCACAGTGAGGTACGTTTCTTGCCATGAATCTTTCAAAAACCTGCTTTGAACTCAACGGGATGTCTGTGACAGGAGGCAGAGGCCCCATCTGCTCACAGGCAGACAAGGGGCTAATTCCTGCCTCTGATCGCCACAGGTGCGTGGACAAGATAGAGTCAGGAGGCTGATGGCAGAACCAGGAATACAACCAAGATCTCCTGACCCCTAGCCTGATGCTCTCGCCACTGGCCCATGCAGAGAAAAAGAACTGCCCCCTTTCCTCGCAGATGGTATGTACCCTGAATCAGCACCCACTGTTCCAAGAGCTTGTCAGAGCAAAGGATAGATCTGTGACTAATGGTTTTGGAGCATTTCTCTTTGGCTGTTCTATGCAGATGGCTATGACACTGACACAATCAATCCTGTTGGAACTGCTGACCTCTACCAAGGCATTGATAGTGAATGTTAATGGGGCTTCTCATCACTAACCAGCTAAAAATGGATGGAGCTTCGTGATTTAGAGCAATTGCTTCAGAGTCTAGTCTGGGTTCTCAGTGCTTCATTGTTATTTAAAACACAAAACTGCACTGCAATTCACTGGATGACTAGACTACTCAATAATGACCCAGCCACAAACCCACATGGACTTTCAGCCTTCAGTCCCTCACTTTCACCTCTGCCCCAAATGCCTCTGAGAAAGGGACTTTGCAGCCTGCCCAAAAAATTAACACATTGAGGCCCCACGGTTGCCTACAGTTTTCTTTTACACCACATGCTCTGATACACCACACTCAGCACTGTGGCATCAACACTAGAGAGAGAGATGAGCTTCAAATTATACCATCAGGACAGCTAGCCAGCCAGCCGAGACAGAGATATGGCTTTCTTCCTCATGGGAGCTTCCCCACCCCTCACCCCCAGAGCTGATAGATGCTGGGAGCATGGGTGTGTAGAGTCTCAGAGCTGCACTGACAGGCTCCAGAGAGAGGTCTCCATGACGCTAGCTCCAGAGAATGGCTGTGATTGCTGTGTACCTCAAGGGGAACTGAGGCAAGCTCTTTGCTTTCTTTACCATCTTTCAGGTGTGCTGGTTCTGGCTTTGATCCTTAGATTTTTCAGGCTTACCTGTGGGTGTGACTGAGCTGTTCGTTTCCTGTGAGGTTGTTGGCAGTGGGCAGTTGCTAGCAGTTTAATCCCACCTCCTCTCTGTAATCAACTGGGTTAGAGGAGCTATAATCCAGATGCATTTGCTAGTATTTAAGAGCACCTCTCATAGTTATGGCAACCAGCAGGTGGTAGGATCCTGGCAACTGACAGGCTGGCGGGCAGCCTGGGCTTGGGGGGGTTGTGATGGGGTGTCCAGTTAAAAAGGACCAATTAGCGCCATGAGAGGCTGCACCTGGGGGAGAGCAGGGCTACTAAGGCCTAACGAAGCCCAGCTGCGGAGGAGCTGAGCTAGGCAGGAAGTTGGTGGTAAGAGGGGGCTGTGGGGAGGAGCTCTGCAGTCACTCCCTAGAGGTAGGAGTTGGCAAGAGACAAGGAGGACTAGGGGGAGACTAAGCCCTGGGATCCTGCCTTGAACTACAGACTCTAACAAGAGCCCAAGAAGGGTGAAACAGCCACAGGGAACAGCAGAAGCGCCACTGCTAACACAGAGAGGGCCAAAGCTAGAGACAAAAGGTAGGGAGCAGCCCAGTGGGGTCTGGGATTGTGTAGACTGCAGACACTAGTTATAGGGTCCCTGGGCTGGAACCCGGAGTAGTGGGCTGGCCTGCGTTCCCCTACCAGCCCCTGGGGAAGGGGCACAATCTGGACAATGGATTAGGAGACAGTCCAGAGAG